TAAGTTGCTGGACATAAGCCGTGCTCATTTTTACGGTGACTCTCAACGAGCTGTGTATTGCACATTGCCTGAAGGAGATGAGACGCCTGGTCATTGTGCCCGTCTTGTCAAAACGATGTACGGGACGCAAGATGCAGCATCAATTTGGCAAGCAACCTACAGTGAATTGCTTCAAGAACACGGCATTCAAGCTGGAACGGCATGGCCATCGATATTCTATGACACGCAGTCAGACGCGAGATTTCTCGTGCATGGAGACGATTTTCTGATTTTAGGAGATGAAGATGCACAGAAGCGGATTGCCACCATTTTGGCAAAGAAGTTCGAATTTCGTATCGACGGATGCGTCGGACCTGAAGAGTCAGATGGCACGGTGATGAGCGTGCTCAATAGGATTTTGGAATACAACAAGTCCACAGGGACGTTGACATACGAAGCTGATCCTAGACACGCAGAGATCATTGTGAAACAATTGCAACTAGAAGGCGCTCGAGAAGTGAGCACACCATCGACAAAGCAAACAGGGGAAGAGGCGTTCATTGAAACGCCGCCTTTGAATCATGAACAAGCAAAGATCTACAGATCGTTGGTGATGAGAGCAGCCTATTTGAGCCTAGACAGAGGAGATCTATGTGAAGCTGTGAAAACATTGGCAAGGTCTATGTCCGTTCCCGATGAAGATTCTTGGGCAAGATTGAAACGCCTGGGCAGATACCTGCTAGGCAAACCCAGAGTTGTTCAAGAGTTCAAACCACAACGGATGTACACCAAGATCCGAGCTTTCACAGACAGTGACCATGCTGGATGCGTTCGTACAAGAAAGTCCACCACCGGACTGGTCCTGATGTGTGGACAGCATACCTTGAAGTCTTCATCAACTCTGCAAACGACGATATCGTTGTCTTCGGGCGAATCGGAGTATTACGCCATCGTTAAAGCAACGGCATCGGTGCTCGGGATACGAGAACTGTTCCGAGAATGGGGAGTTGAGTTGGACTGCATGGTTCTTTCAGACTCCAGTGCAGCCAGAGGAATGTGCAGTCGACGCGGGCTGGGCAAAACAAGGCATGTACAGACCCGCTACTTGTGGGTTCAGCAAAAGCTCAAAGAGAAAGAGTTTGAGTTGGTCGCAGTGGGCACCGACAAGAACGTTGCCGACTTGTGCACCAAGCCTTTGAGCGCGGAGACCTGTTGGAAGCACATGCATGCCTTAGGCCAGTACGCAAAGACCGGCAAGAGCTCGGCTGCAAAAGCCGTGGAGTGAAGATTCATCTGCAAAGCAGAAGAATCTTAGGAGGGGTGTTTGGATGTAGGGTATGTACATACTATACACGTACCCCGACTTTTGGCTCAAGGGAAATAAGCGCGAGCGGCCGAGCTTTGAGCGTCCATATACATTTTCACATTCAATGAGAAAGGCCAGAGTTTGAAACCCTTGCCTCCAAGCAGAAACGGTGTTGACATGGCCATAGCCAGACAATTTCGCTAGATTCTCCTCCCAGTGCTGTACTCTCCTAAGCTGCACTTTTTGTTCCTGCAAACAAAGAATATCAACGGAATGAGGGATTGAGGGACCCGGAAATGAAAAGGCAAAGGTGTGTCCAGAATCCAAGCCAGGCACTGAGAATTGGGAACGGTCACATCCTGTTGGAACAACTTTTGCAAAGCACTGCTGACGCGCTGCCTTGTAGCATGCCTGCTGAGCTCACCCTTCTCGTTTTTCCACAAAGCCTTTCTTCTTGGCTCATAGAGGCCTTAACTGGGCTTTGTCGTCAGGGGTTTCCATCTTTGGTATTTTGTGAGACGCCTTGCAAAAATTGCTTGTGTTTTGCATTCTAAGCCGATGTGAGAAAGAAAACACGGGTTTTGAATTTCCATCGGCTTCCATACATCGCCAAAACCGATTTCCCTAGCCTCCTAATCTAGTGAAGTGGAAGGAACACAGAAAGGGTAAGAGGAAGGAGATAAACCCACATATATAACCACATAATATACGAGCATATCACATAAAGGATCATATAGGCAGTCCTTTTAACAGTCCTTTGTTATGCCTCCTGGACTTCACCAAAAAGGCATAATCAAGTTTATAGGGATTTTGTATGAATCCCTGACTAAAAATGATCATGTTGAAGACCGTTTGCATCGGAAGCAGTAGCCCCCGGAGAAACACTTCTACAAGTAACGTTTCCATCTATTGTATCCCCCTACTATTTGCAGGCATGTCCATACTTGAAGCTTCTTTTGCTGCACAGTTCATAGTAAAAAGCAAGGGGGGGACAGTGATAGAAACGTTTCTGCAAGAGAATATGCGGGCACATATCAAATCCCGTCAACTCCTCAGAAACCATTACTTTTACAATGTTCTTAACATCTATAGTTTTTCAATATTGCACTCAAAGCTCTTCAAACATCAGTGGAAAGACAGGAACTGAAGGAATA